CAACATAGATTAAACATGATGTGTGGTTTTAAAATCTAAATAGATTTCCAACGAGTTCTTCTTTAGATTGTAGTGAGATCAAACTTCAAATAAGTGCAACTAATAATGGAGTTAACCGAATTCCTAATTATGTACAAAAAAAACATAATTGTTCTTAAACAAAACATACAGCACCATAAAACTCCCACTAAAACCAAATATCACACCAACGCGTGTAGTATGATCATGAAAGACCTAGGGAGGTAATCCCTTTATGAGCGGATCCGCTTTTATGGAGTTTGTTCATATGTTCTATATATATTTCCATTTTGCACTTTTGTGTTAACAGAAGGAAACTTGATATCAATATGCTTTGACTTAATAGAACTTCTGTTGTTGGAATATAATATTGCTGACTTATTATCACAACGTTAGTGGTCTTTCAATACGAATAATGTGTAGCCTCGTGACAAATTTCCGCAACCATATTCCATGCTACAAATTATGATTCCATTATGGAAAAAGCTACCGAAGTCTATTCCATGAAATGGCTCATCATGCAAAAATTTAAAAGTATACCGATATGGATCGGTAACCATTTTGGCATCTAATAAAATCAGATTCTTAATAAAAATGATCTCTAAAACATCTGATTTCCTATAGTTGAGCATATATCCTTTTGTTATATATAGATATCTCAAAATCCATGTGGCTGCTTTCTTATGATCCAAACTTGGGTTGTGTAGATATCTGCCTAAAACCAGAAAGATAAATTTACTCCCACTTAATTTGTGATACACAAAATCATCTACTGTATTTACCTCAAAACCAAAAGAGATAATAAGTTGATGAAAAATGTGGTACCACACATAGGATATCCAAAGTTGAGGTTGTTGAGTTTGTATATTCTGAATAGGAGATTGAATAACATTGTCGATTACTGATTCATAATCTGCATACTCTCGAAAGCAATAATAGGAATCAAGATTGATTCCTCCTTAAGGACAATGTTTTAACATTGTTTCTCCCCCAAACTCAACATCCTCAAAGAATGTTGCTCTATCCAAAATGCAAGGTCAATATTCATGCAATTAAGAACTAACATAATGCCCTCATTCTATTCCTTAAAATTAATCTCATTGAGTACATAAACCATAAATGTGATCAATGTTAGCAGATATAATACCATAATTCAAACATAAGCAAATCTATTTTTATGCTCATTAATCCATAAACCGAAATCAATAAATTCAATTTATGACATCTTTACAAGGTATCGACACAACATTAATATCAAGTCTTTAGACAATAATACTAACTTGCAAGAGATAACCTTGTTTTAGAGATAAACATTGACAATAAATGATGTCAATTAACAAGTCCATCTTTGAATTGACTTATTAATCATATGTAACCAAAAAAAATCACCATATGTTTATCACCACATATATGTTTATTCGGCCAAATATCAGTCTACCTTTGGGTCGGCTAATACCCGCATTAATAAACACATAAACTATAAAGTTTGATAATAAGAATTGACAATATATCATGTCAATTAATAAGCTCTTTTTTAGATTGACTTATTAATGACATGTAACTTAAAAATTGTCGCATATTTATCATCAAACATGTATTTATCCGGCCAAATATTAACCTACATTTGGGTCGATTAATATCCGCATTAATAAACACAAACCATAAAATTTAAGTTCTTTATAAATTTATTTTCACAAAAGAGATCACTTTGGCGATGTATTGTGTCAATTAATTTACTCTGAAAATAAATAAACATGTCATAATTGTAGTTTATTGACAACCTGAAATATTTGTCAAAGTGTGACATTGTGTATAAGATATACCTTTAGGTGGAACACAATTCACATAAGCAAATATCATATAACAAAATTGATTAAAAATAAGAGGTTTCTTGAGTAACAATATTATATCGATCACCAAAAAAAAATATCTATAAGCCAAAAGGTTCAAGTATTCCATCAAAAATATGAAGAAATTTATAAGAAGAAAAAGTGGCAATGATATTTCAACCAATAATTAAATAATAGCAACAATCAACATTATCAATTATACGAAGATTTGCTATAACAAAAATATCGACAGTAAATATTGGGTTTTATCATGCTCAAGATTTACATCAATCCAAAAAAAAATTGGGTTTTATAGTCCACAAATTTAAAAAATATATATTGTGAGTATCTAAAATTTTTTAGATACGTTATAAAACTCATTTATATGGTGACTATCGCCTATGGTTTCTTTATTAGACTTTAATAATCATAAAACCTTTTAATCAAATAAAACCACAAACCTTTGACATTATTACTGAAACTCCAGAAGTGAAGTAGTCAAGTAAATCTTAATTTGTATTTCAATCTCATTAAACCCTTTTACAACAATGCTACACAACAATAATAATAATTAAGCAAAAATATGGGTCTCGTACCTTTAAATGGGTATAGCCGAATAGGGTGGCTACTAGTATTGTTACCCAATTTACTTTACACACAAATTATATTGTTTTAATAATTTTCATATTTTCGTGTTTTAATAATTTTCATATTTTCGATTCATTTGTACAGCGCAAGGATAAGACTTAAATCCAACTATGAATCAAATATATATATATATATATATATATATATATATATATATATATATATATATATATATATATATATATATTAAACTAATAATAACATGAACGAATTTTGTGTAATAGCTAATACCCAATAGCTAATCTTTTGTAGTCAAAGTCACGTAACAAAATAAAAATAAAAAAAAGAAAAAAAAACAAAAGTTGCTTTGGGAAGAAAACCCCTTCCTGACATGCATATATTCATACACTAGGTGTGAGACCCGTATATTACACGAGTTTATTAAAAGGACCAAAAGTAACGGTGTGAGCAAAAAAAAATCACTCACGCAAGTTTTGGTAACCACAAAGACCATTTTCATAAAAAAAAAATAAGTAACGACTGAGTTTGTGACATTTGTTAAACCGCATGGACTATTTATTTAATTTGGTTTTAATTAATCTATACTAATAAAATTAATTAATATGAACTCACAAATGGAATGTACTATCTACATTAATATATATACATTAATTAATATATTAATAGAAAGAGGAATTCATAAATAGAAAGTTATTATGTACATTAATTAATATATTTATAAAATTAATTAATATGAGGTGGCATTTAATAGGTGAAATTTTAATAAAAAGGAAAAAAATTATAAAAATGACAAGTGGATATTAAATAATTCAAAAAAATCTAGAAAATGATAAGTGTCAAAATGAAGGAGAAGATGACATGTGACAAAATCATTCTTATTTATTAGGATAGATACGAGTACTTGAATCCGAAAGAAAACAAGAGTCAAAATCTCACTCATTCTTTCCCTCGTTACTTGTCAAGAAAACTTATTTGTAATGAAACCAAATAAAAATAACAATAATAATAATAAGCAATCTTGACGATACGAAGAAACAGTAAGAGAAACAGGTATGTTTAATTATGAAAAATAATTTAAGGATCTTAAAAAAAATTATCACCGATCTTAAACCAATCAAATAACAATATTTTTTAGTAACAGATTCGAGTAGGCTCTGATACCAATTGTTGGATGTTTTGATAACTAAAACACGGAAGCATAAACTTTGGATCTTTAATCTCGAATCTGATTAAAAGAAAACTTGAACATTAAAGAACGATTACATACCTGATTTCATTATGATCTTCGGATCTAGAGAACTAGGGTTGGGTTTTCCAGTTGATCTTAAGAGCTCTCTCTAAAATCCCTCAGCGGACCCTAAACGAATTTACATGTGTATTTTCGTGTGTCTTGATTGCTCATCATCACATGTATATATAGATGGAGATATACCCTAATGTGAGAGATGGAAGGGATCTTGAGGATCTTGAGTCAAACCGGGAACTCAACCCACAAGGTAAGTTAATATTTTATAAATCGGTCCATCAACAATTTATATTCTTACCATAATTATTGGATTTAATAATATAGCGTACATATTTATGAAGTGATCCCATAATTATCCAACAACAAGACCTAAACAACTAAGCAGTCGAGGCCGTGGTGGCGATAAGCAGTCGAGGTCATGTGTTATGAACGCTGTAACTTTTTCATACGAACTCAGATTTTAACGATCTTTAAGTCTACTCGTTCATATTTGAGTCTACTACAATTTTTGTTTAGGTTACTCCTGTTAAAAAGTAATTTATTTTTACTTGCGATCTTTATATCTAAGCGTACTTTATGTATATATGTATGTATGAAAAAAAAAATTATAAAATCGTCAGTAAAAATATATTACTTTTTAATGCTGATAACCGAAGTAATCAAAAGTAATATATTTTTACCTACAATCATTGTATACACGTGTTATTCATGATTCATTGAACTTCTAATAAAAAATGTTCATATATACATTAATAAAGAACACATGGATATAAAGAACACACGTAAAAATACATTACTTTTTAACGAGAGTAATGTAAACGGAAGTTGTAAAAGACTCAAATACAAACACGTTGATATAAAGATTGTTAAAATCTTGGATCATATGAAAATATTACGATTTTCAGAACACAAGACGTAGGCCAAACTACAAGAGGTAAGAAACTAAGGAACCGAGGCTCCGGTGACCATAAACATCAACAGCCCCAAACACCATATCTATGCTTGTCTTACATAGGATATCATGAGCAAAACCTGAAAACCAATAATACTGAATGTGTAAAAAAACAACAATGACTTATTTTACAACAAAAAAATATAATGATTAAATATATACAAATTAAAAAATATATTACCCAATTAAGTCAATTTTTTTGGCTCATGAAGTAAACCGTCATAATACTGAATATCTACGATTTAAACAAGTAAAAAGGGTTATAAAAAAATAAAAAATAATAATAAAAAGAAAAACTCAATAACCAAATTTATATAAATCAAAAATATATTTATGATATAAGTCATCATCCCTGTATATAAATATGCAGCGTCGTTGATCTTGTGCATCCAAGCTTCAAAAATCAAACTGAAGTCGAAAGCACACTCTCTTTTTCACTCTCTATTTCCAAATCACTAGTTGCGTACCTGTGTCAAACAAAATGGACACCAAAGTTGGTTCTGTCGACGTCGCCTCTCCGGATGGTGAGGTTTCCTCCGTCCAGACATCCGCCGTTCCAATCAGCCACTCCGAGTCCACTCTCGGCCGACACATCGCTCGTCGACTCGTCCAAATCGGTGTCTCTGACGTCTTTTCTGTTCCCGGCGACTTCAACCTCGCTTTGCTTGACTACCTCGTCGCCGAGCCTGGACTCAACCTCATTGGCTGCTGCAATGAGCTCAATGCAGGATACGCTGCTGATGGATACGCTAGGTCTCGTGGTGTTGGAGCATGCGTCGTTACTTTCACTGTCGGCGGACTTAGTGTCATCAACGCCATTGCCGGAGCTTACAGTGAAAATCTCCCGGTGATTTGTATTGTGGGTGGACCGAATTCAAATGATTATGGTACTAACAGAATTATTCATCATACGGTAGGATTGCCGGATTTTACCCAAGAGCTTCGTTGCTTTCAAACTGTCACTTGCTTTCAGGTACAAACCTTGACCTACGCTACTCCATAACATATGATTCTGAGTTTATTACTACTTTGAATGTAGGCTGTGGTTAACGATTTGGAAGACGCACATGAACTGATCGATAAAGCGATTTCAACAGCCTTAACGGAAAGCAGGCCAGTTTACATCAGCGTCAGCTGCAATCTACCTACAATTAGTCATCCTACTTTTAGCCGGGAACCTATTCCCTTTTCACTCTCGCCAAAGTAAGTTCCACGTCCTTCCAACCTCTACACATATAACTCACTAATCATAGTTGAATACAAAATCATTTAGGTTGAGTAATCAAATGGGTTTAGAAGCAGCCATTGAAGCAGCAGCGGAGTTCTTAAACAAAGCTGTGAAGCCAGTAATGGTAGCAGGACCAAAACTTCGTGTAGCAAAAGCATGCGATGAATTTGTTGAATTAGCTAACTCATGTGGGTATCCTGTAGCCGTGATGCCATCAGCAAAAGGGATATTTCCAGAAGAGCATCCTCGATTCATTGGAACATATTGGGGTGTTGTAAGCACACCTTTTTGTGCCGAAATTCTTGAATCTGCTGATGCTTACTTATTTGCTGGATCTGTATTCAATGACTTCAGCTCCGTAGGATACTCTCTTCTTCTCAAGAAAGAAAAAGCCATAATCTTGCAGCCTGAACGTGTACTGATTGGAAATGGCCCAGCTTTTGGGTGTGTGTTGATGAAAGATTTCTTGATAGGTTTGTCAAAGAGACTTAAGAAGAACACAACTGCCTATGAGAACTATTGTAGGATTTATGTGCCGGAAGGAAAGGTTGTGAAACCTGAACCTAAACAGGCGTTGAGGCTTAATGTTCTGTTTCATCACATACAGAATATGTTGTCAGGTGATACTGTTGTGATTGCTGAAACTGGTGATTCCTGGTTCAATTGTCAGAAGCTAAAACTGCCAAAAGGATGTGGGTAAGTTTATTATAGATACTTTTGTATTTTCAAGAAAAATGTGAGCAAAACTTGATTGAAATATGTGATAAACGAAAAATGGCTTCGGACTTATACACGTTAATAACTAAAACCAGGTTAAAACCAGACCCAAACCGGTTAAAAACTAAAACCAGCTTGAAATCAGTCATAGATCGGACAAAAATCAGTATTTCAATTAATATTAGACAAAATTGCAAAAGGTGGTCTTGTGGTTTAAAAACTAAAACCAGTATAATCTTTTATTTTCGTACTAATTACTAAATGATTATATAAAAAGTGTTATATATTAGTCTTTTTAATAGAAGAAATCCAACGCATTATAAAAAACAACAAAAAGATGGCCAAGAAATTATTATTTTTTTAACAAAGTGATCTTTGCAACTTTAATTTTCAAGTTCAAAAATTCTGATTTTGAAAGTTGGCTCTTTAGGTATGAGTTCCAGATGCAATACGGGTCGATTGGGTGGTCAGTGGGAGCGACACTTGGGTATGCACAAGCCGCAACTGACAAACGAGTGATTACGTGTATTGGTGACGGAAGCTTCCAAATGACAGCTCAAGATATTTCAACAATGATTCGATGCGGGCAAAACAACATCATCTTCTTAATAAACAACGGCGGATACACAATTGAAGTGGAGATCCATGACGGGCCCTACAATGTCATAAAAAATTGGAACTACACTGCTTTAGTTGACGCGATCCATAATGGCGAGGGCAAATGCTGGACTAGTAAGGTTTGTTGATATAGAAGTTATTAGGTTGTTATAGATGGTATCAGAGCAGTACTTTAAGTGAAAAATGGTTTTTGTAGGTGTTTTGTGAAGAGGAGCTTGTTGAGGCCATTGAGATGGCGACCAAGGAGAAAAGAGATTGTTTGTGTTTTATTGAAGTGGTTGTGCATAGAGCTGATTCGAGCAGAGACACGCTCGAGTGGGGTGCAAGAGTGGCTGCTGCTGGCGGCCGAGCCCCGAACCCTCAGTAAAAAAATATTTTACTCTATCCGTCCGGATGAGGATTCACTAGGGTTTGATGATATATAAAGTGTATGGAATCTATATTCTATGTTGCTATTTTAACTAAGAAAGAATAACGGTCAAACATCTTGAATGTATTCGGCCCATGTATTGTCTAGCATTATGCTTGTATTTTGTGTATATATTGCCATTTGAAGATCAATAATAAAACTATTTGTCAATCAAAACCGAGTCTTTAAATCGTGGATGTATTTGATTATTTTGATTAAAAGATGTAAGATGTGTGTTTGAAAGGCGAAAGGTCAACCATTTATGGAGTCGGTGATTGTTATTGTCTTTTTGAACTTTTGAAAAGAAAAAACAATGCAAGTAACATTGTATACACGTAAACTTTTTTTTGAAAGAGATAAGAAAGATTCGTAGAAAGCTTTTTTAAAATCAAGTTTTTTCTCGTAGGATCATACGATCACATCTAGGTAAACCGATCTCGATCTTATTTGGATCTTTTTTCAGTAAGATCATGATAGGATTGTAGGATCAAACTGAAAGATCATAAGTTTTTTTTTATTAATTTTAATAATAAATTTATAATAATTTTTATTTAACTAACTACGTAAAATACTTCTTTTTAATTGTGTATCGTTGAATATATATATATATATATATATATATATATATATATATATATATATATATATATATATATATATATATATATATGTTTTAAAATGATTTTGATAGGATCCAATTAGATCTTGGAGCATGATTTTGCAAAGCAGAAAATGCTCTTATATAAAATCTTATTCTTGACAAACTTGATACGTACTACATATCATGAAGCATATGAACAAACAAAATAAAAAAATGACCATAATTGCAATTTTTTAAAACTTTTTACCACAAAATAACCACATAAATTGACTTATATAGCAACATTTTTCGTAGGTAAACATATGCTAAAATGAAAAATAATTAAAAATATTAGCGTATGAAACATAGATAAGGATATGAATATTTGAAATTAATTATAAAACTTATTAGACTTAGAGCATCTCCAATGGAGACTCTTTTATAACTTATTACTATTCATTTCTTTTAAAATAACCACTCAACCCTAATGGAACATAACTTATTTGGTTTTTTTAATTGACCACTAAATATATATTGAGTGATCAATATCATCTCTAATAAATGAAGGTTTTTTTTGACACTTGTCACACTCTCATTCAATTTGTCAAATGTCATTTTGTAGTTATTTTGAATTAATTTTTTTTCCATATGTCATTTTATGAGTTTTTCTATTTTATTAAATTCCACATAATATTTTAACGTAACAATTGCAATAAATATATTAATAAATGCATATCAATTTCATTAATAAACTTACCTTTTAATTTCAAAATTCCTAAAATTAAACCTCATTAGTTTTTTTTCTTTATTTAAATTATTTGTTTAAATTTGAAAGATAAAATACTTTTCCATTATAATACTTTATTATTTTTCTTATTTTCTTATAAATTCAAAATTCTCAATTATTGTGACCTTTATATTTAACTTTTTTTTAAAAAATTAACCTATTTAATACATGGGTCTCACAACTAGTACTATATTGGTTTAAACAACTAATCCCCTTCTCTTTAATAATATGTCATACTACCCCTTTAATTATATTAAAGTATTGAATTGTTTTTATTTTTCCATATAAAAGTTTATATATTACAAATATTTATATAGAAAAAACTTCATAAATGGTACCTATCATATCCCGAAATCTAAAGTTTAGTCTCTAAGTTCAAAAAACTTTATAGATAGTCTTTGTGGTTTCAAAACTTTTAACAAACAGTCATTATCCACTTAAAAAGACTTATATGCCCTTTCTATATCTTTTTAGATTTAATTTTACCTAATCCTATTAAAAAAATAGAAAAATAAAATAAATAGTTCATTAGGTCCTCTCTCTCTCTCTCTCTCCACACACACACATGAAACATGAAATACCTAAACCATTCAATGGTAGTGTATAAACCCAGTTAAAAAAAAAGAAACTTTGTTTCAACTGTCACCGCTATTAATCCTCCTTTTTTCCGTTGACCTTGTTGGCGGAGTTTGAGAGAGAAACGAGGAGAGAATGAGAAAGTCGATAAGAGTGAATTATTTATTTTGTTTTTCTATTTTTTTTTAAATATGATTAGGTAAAATTAATTCTAAAATGAAATAGAAAGGACATATAAGTTTTTTTATATGGGTAAGAGATTGTTTGTTAAAAGTTTTGAAGCCGATCTATGAGGCTTTTTGAACTTAAGGACTAAACTTCAGATTTCGAGATACTACAGGGACCATTTATGAAGTTTTTTCATGTATATATTACAAATCATAAAGTTTAATACAAACCATAACAAACACATTAATACTTATAGTAAGTTTTAATACATATGAGATGGTTTTATAAAACATTATAGATATTTAAGGATAAATTAGTTAAATTTATATATAAAAAAAGCTATACAAAAGGTTGACCATTAAAGATGCTATTTAGTTTAAACTTAAGGACAAGTTATCGATGACTTGGCATGTATTTTGAGTCAATATATAGGTTAACCATTGGAGTTGTTCTTAATCATGATATAGATTTGTCTATCTTAAATTTGATTTGGGCAACCGTAGTTATGAAAATAGCTCCACCAAAGAATTCCTCAAAATTAAGGAGAATTTCAAATATTATAAACATTTAATGCTACAATAGTTTGATCATGAAAAAGCAAATAGTTTGAAATTATAAAGGTTAAAGTAGAGCTCCTTTACAATAACAAATATTTAAAGAATAAAGAAGCCCCACAAAAATCTTAATAAACCCCACCATCACTTTTTTCCATCGAAGTTAGATTTTTTTTTAATCTCTCTTCTAATAAAAGACTCTAAATTTTGCCAATTATCATTTTTTAATAATTTTCAATTTTTTTTCTGCAGCTCTCCAAAAATAACACATGTAATCTCTTTGATCTTTCTTTTAGATTTAAATAAAATTATATTGATTATTATCATACAACAAATCCATTACCCCCTTAAATCATCACTATTAGTTCAATACCCATAAATTATATCCAAAAAAATCAGTAAGAAATCAAGAAACCTTCTACTTATGTAACACTCATAAAAATCATGATAAAATTTAAACTTTTTTTTAAACCAACCAATTTCACAAACTGTTTACAAACATAGTTTTCAAAACTTGTTCGACATCAAAGTCACTCAAAATCATAAGTCCAAACGTGAGGATCTGTACGGTCACGTCTTCACCTTCCCGCGATCATCTGAAGTACCTGAAACGTAACCCAAAACTGTAAGTCAACGCTTAGTGAGATCCCCCAAAGTACCAACACATAACATAAGCATAATACAGACATCATGCATACAGAGCCTTCAACCTGACTGGAACGTCCCACCAGCCTATATTCTATCTGGTACGCTCACAGAACCTTCAGCATGACTGGTACGCCTCACCGGGCCTTCAGCCTATTAGGAACGTTCTTCGGGCCTTCGGCCTGACTGGTACGCCTCTCGGGCCTGCAGTCTATCCGGGACACCCTTGGTCTCTTGGCCTTCAGTCTACACTGGTCCGCCTCAACCCAACCACATATAAACCATGTCGACATATACATAACAGATAAACATACATATAACCAGTCAACAGACAATCAGACAGATCACACAGATCACTAAGCATAGCATCATCCTATATACCAGGATACAGATCTAACATATCACTACTACATACTAATATATGATAAACCAGGATAACAATCCAATGGGCCGGCCTTGGTGCCTTCAACCCAAAAGTATAGTGAGGAAACTCACCTCGCAAACTGAACAGAAACTGATGAGGTCTCGACTCGGAATCTCAGCTCTCTAACCGATACCTATTCCCACCAAATGACCAATTTCCATAAAAATCCCAAAATACCCTTGAGGTCAAACTTGGTCAAAGTCAAAGTCAACTGGTCAAACCTAGTAAGTCAACTGAGTCAACCCAGTCGAGTCAACCCAACCGAGCCAACTGAACCGGATTAACCCAGTACGAGTACGCGGGGCGTACTCCGAAGGTACGTTGCGCGTACTCCAAACCTCGCAGTTGACCACTATCGGGGTAATTGACCTCGTATATAGGGCGTACTTCGAGTACACTAGGTGTACTCTCGCAACCTTCATAACTCAATAAGTGCTTAATGGCTTAAGAACTTACGTCCATATTTCAGATCCCAGGCTAAATACACTCTAGAGTCATAAAGTTTCCAACTTTATGACTTTACATGCCCATTAAGTGCTTAACTCAAGGTCTTAATCCATTAAGACTTTCTACAAGATGCATGAAGCAAAACTAACCATTAGGACTTCATTTTTATGACTTAGGACCCCTCCTAGTGTCTGAAAGGACAACTCAATTCATCAAGAACATTCCATGCTCAAGATAAGACATTTGGGACCAAAAAGTATCACTAAAACACCTATTTCTAGATCTACATGATTGAAAGATCAATTTGCAAGCTTTATACCTTTGAAGGATTGCAAATGAAGAGTAATTTCCAGATCCAAAGTGATTCACTCTCCAAAGATGAGCTTGGCTTCCTTCCTTCCTATTCTAAGCACACAAACACACACTTTGAGGCTAGAACTGGCTTATCAAGGAGAACTAGGGCTTCAAACACGAATGAGAGGGTGGAGGCTGATAAGGTGAAGGGAAATGAGGCCATAATGATGCTTAAATACACGCCAAATCCTAAAAGTTATGGTTTCCTCATTTAGCAAGTACACCCAGCGTACACTGATGTACGCCCAACATACTAGGGTGTGCCCTAGCACGCTCAGTGTACACCACATATGCATGGCGTACTCCGAAGGCTTCTAATTACAACAATTCCCTTCAAGCCCTTTTGCATACAATTCTTAAACTTTGGGACCAAATGCAATATAAATGATTTAAAGGGTTTAAATTTAGGAGTACTTCACATCAGGATATTACAATTCTCCCCCACTTGATTTAGACTTCGTCCTCAAAGTCTGCCGTGGCGAATAACTCAGGATAATGCTCCTGCATTTCAGCTTCCGTATCCCAGGTCAACTCGGAGCCCCTCTGATGCTGCCACCGTACCTTCACCAAAGGTATCTCCTTGTTGCGCAAGACC